AGTAAAATAGTATGAATAAGGATAAAGATTGTTTCCTTTTGGAAAACAAGCACATAGAAAATTCAGTTGGTTTATATTAATTTGCTGCATATTGCTCACATATGTACACTCTGATTAACTCCAACTGATTAGTTAGGTCTCTGAAGAATTTTTTGGGTTTTTGTCAGAATGAAAATTCACAGTGATCCTGCTCTCTAAAATTCCATGACCAAATAATGAAGGTATTTATCTATATGTCAGACAATCACCTGCTATTCCATGTAATCCAAAATATAAAATACATAAAACCATAAAGACGACTTGTTGATTTTCCTAAAAAGCACATTTGACAACCGCTGTGCTCACTGGTTTTGTTGTCTAGCTCAGTGAGCTTTTGATCCTTCTCTTGTACATAAAGACACAGTTAATTGCATATACAAAAATGGACAACTATGCAAAATAAATATAACTCACAAAACAACCTTTAACTCTTCAGTAATCTATTCCCTGAGCAAGATTGTGGAAATACTTTCAATAATATTTGGTACTATCTATGCAAGCTTTGCTGTGCTAGTCTGTGAAGGCTGTGGAAGGAGAAGAGGGAGAGAGAACAGATATGTCTTTAAAACAAAGGGGTTTGGACCTTTGTCTCAAAACTGATCAGAAACAGAAAATGTTCTGCTATATTAAGAGCACTCCTTTTACAGTTTTTCCCACAAGAAATATCTTTTTCCTGGAAAAAGCTCCTAGGCAGATGGCAGCTTAAGCCAACTGTTAGGCTTTCAAAACAAAGAACCACCTCTCCAGGCAGTTGCATAGACAGAGCAGTACTAGGGCTCGGCAAGCTGTAAGAGCAGTTTTTCCACCATTTGCTTTTCCAGATTGTTTCTTCTTTATAAGATTCAGAACATTCCCCTATTGCTATGGATTAAAACAAACAAACAAAGAAGTAAATTTTCAGTCACAAATTATCTGGTGTGAAGAACGGAGACAAGTGAATACAAATACTTACCCACCTTGACCTATAACTCATGGATTTTGGTAGTCTGAATATGAAATGTAAAACATCTTGCAAAGGAAAGGATTACTGATCTTGTTTATGCTTATGACAGTCTTGAAGAATATATTATCTTGCAAATAAAAAATTCTTTCCCATGCTTGTCCTGAAAAGAATAGAGCCTCCTGCACATTCTGAAACTCTGACAGTTAACTTAGAGGGAAAAAAATCCAAAGTATTTTACTGGAATTGTGGTGATGCTGTAGCAATTGTAGTAAGAAGTCAAATACCAGAACTTTTAGTTTTGTTACAATAGCATGTTCAGCTACTGAATTAACAAGATAAACAGGAATAAGGAAAAAAAAAAAAGTTCAGTGCTTAAACAACATTTTTAATTCAGCTCTATTTCTATCTACAGTCGCAGGATAACCCATTACAGTAACAGATAAAAGGATTGCTTCATATTTCAGTTTTGCAAGAGGATCAACAAAAGCACACATGTGAGCAAGCTTGCTCTGTGGTTGATTCCTTTTTAAGTTCATGTGCTTCCAAGTGCAAAAGCTAGCCTGAAATACATGCCTACTGATACTTGAAAGCCTTTAAAAAACATATTTTTATTCTAACTTTCTGGCCATAGCCATACAAGCACATCCAGTACAGCTATATGCACCCCTGAATTTGAGGGCATTTTCTATCACACATTTGTTTGGCATTTTCTATCACACATTTGTTTGGCAATTTTCACATAGTCATAACCATGTTAAATCAAATCCAACTGATTGCAATGCCAAAATGCTCAGAAGCCCCACAGCAAAGCATCTTTACATTTGGGAAGTGTTAATGTACAATATAAACATTTTGCCTTCCAAAGCCACCGTGTATACCAGAATGTCAAAAGCAATTAATCTAATGTACAGAAACACACACACGCAGACATCTCTACAGATTACTCTCTAGTACATTTTTACATGAGTGTAACCATTGTGCTGGGAGATGTAGGACAAGGGGAGATCCCTCTTCCCCTTCACAAATACACTGCTGTTTTAATTGAGAAAATATGTTGTGCAGGAACAGTAAAAGAACACTTGCAGCCAGCAGTTTAAAAATTGTACTATATGGTCTTGCAAGTGGTTTTTTTGTTTTATTTTTTTTGTGTGTGTTACAGGCTGGTAAGGAGGGCAATACATAATTTCAGCATGAAAGCTGCAAATTCCATGAATAAGCTTCTATTGCCCAGCTTCTTTCCTGAAAGAGCCGAGTTGTTATGCACAGGAAAGAATAAACAAAGTAATAAATTTGGTATTACAAGAACTATCAGCTTAATATTTCTTTCCTCCAAAGGAGCTGAGGTGAGAGTAAATGCAAGTAACAAGCTATGCTGGTATAAGATAAGGGCTTGAACAATTCCTCCAAACATTAATACAAAGCAGCTAGTACCTTTTCTCCTGGCTACGTAATAGCTGTTGCATTTGTCTCACATATATGACCATGTGTCTGTGCTAATATGATACTGAAGCCAAAAGCAAGTGTTTGAAAATAAGACCCAATTCTGTGCAGCCACTATCGTGCAGCTGAGCTTAGCATGGCCTTGTACACATGGGAAAAGGACCCTTAAAGCTGGAGGAAAGCTTAACAAAAAAAAAAAAAACACAAGTAATGTTTAAGAACAAAAAATAATTGTGAAAGAAGAAAAGGTCTTGCTTGCTGGACCTCTGTAAAACCCTACTCTTGCATTTATTTCGTGATACAATCATGAGACAAGCAAACACAACCTCACAGAGTCAGAACATTCCCTTGCTATGTTCACAACACAGAAATGTGACCTTTTCCTCACACTCAGACACAGTGTGGAAGGTGCAGTGGCTTGGCCTGGTCTGGGAGCTGCCAGCTATGCTGTCTGACATGGGGAAGCAGGAGGAGGAATAGGGGCACGCCTTCTAGTAGTTTTAAGTTTGCAACCCCACATATGGAGTTTGGCATAAACAGGTAAACAGAGAAAAGCCACAGGTACAAATGTCCTCATTTTCCCAGGTCAGATTTCTCACTCGCTGTACACAGTTAGAACTCTGAAGAATACATCTAATTAATTGTGCAGAACCTGTGCTGCTTTTTCCATTAACAAAACAGTTAAATAATCAGAGGAAAGGAGTGAGGGATGATATAAAAATCTGCCTTGTACTGCAAAGATAAGCAATACCTCTGGAGGTACACATCATATTGCATAAATGTTGAAGTAGTGATGGATGAACCTGAATTCTTTTAGAGGCTGCATCTAATCATCTATCAAAAGCACCTCCACGTTAGCACCAAAAATCAGTGGCCAAATATGCTTTCCATTTCCTGCAATATGAATCACAAGTTGTCCCTAACCCCTGTTTCCTTATGAGGTAGGGGCAGGCAGGGGTGGGGGTTTACACTGTGCTGGCAGTAAGACACAGTCATCATAACACAGGGAATCAGCCATTCTATTATGCACAAAGAGAAAGACATTTTCTTTTGTCTTAGTGCATTTATTATTTTATTATACTGAAACACAATGCCCTTTTTGCTCAGAGAATAATTGACAAATGCATTATTTCCCAATTCATTGCCACAAAGCTAGAATGAGTTAAAACGTGTTGAAAAATCCTCTTAAGCCATTATGACCTGCTGGTTTTACTGTTAAATTTCAAGCAGTTAACAAGTCCATTACTAACCCTAAAGCAGCCTGTCCCCTGCCTCTATTTACTCTGCCTGGCATATGGAATGCAAATGTTCACAGTATAAGCAGATAAATGCATTGTAATTCCCACATAAAGATGCATCTAGAACCTACCTATGTGGTTTGTCTTTCCCAACCAGAAGTTCTTTGGCTATTAATTACATTAGTGGTGATTATTAATCAGAGACACAGCTTACTATAGATCTTAAGTATCTGGCAGAAACATTCCTCTACAGTGAAGTACAGAGACTGATAATCACTTATCAGCCTCTATATTTACTACCATTAGATATTATTTTGCAAGAGAACTGTAACATGTTTCAGAAAAATATATGCAGATTTCAGAAAGCTAATTGCAGCATTTTGCAGTATATTTTGACAATGGAATTGAAAGAAGAGCTTCTCCACTGTATTGTACACAATTTAAGAAGGCCTCATAAGTCTAACAGCCTTTAGACTGCTAAGTCAAAATTCCAATGGAGGCAACAATGAACTATAACCAGCTAGACCTTAAAAGCACGGGTGTTTCCTCTGCCCTGCCACATAGGTCTTGCTAACCCAATCCCATGACACAGAAAGGTTTTTCCTTCCACATGCTGTGGAAAACAAGGATTCAACACTTGAGTGGCTTGAGCAGAAAAGCACATGCAATTCATTCTCATGTAACTTGCCACAGTCTGTGGAAAATACTGTGCATACGAGAGCATGAAGACCGAGTGAAGTGTTTAAAGTCTGCATTGCTGCTGATCAGCTATAGTATACTTCAGAAATCGGTAAGTAATGCCTCTGACCGGAGGTACCTTGACTCCTGCTATCACGAATAATATGAAGCTATATGAGTAGAAAAATATAAAAAAAAGTAAAACTTCCACAGTTTGAAGTTTATTCTCCTAGTTTTAGATTAAACTTCCGAGTACTTCTGCCTATACCATCTTTGCTGATATTAAATAATATCTTTCCTCACGTGACATGTTCTTAATAGGTAATAACACCCATATGGTTTGTTGTGAATTAGGTTGCTAAATGTTTTAGGACTGCTGCGAAGTACAGAGGAGAAATATAAATAGGTTAAAACAAAAGAAAAATAGCATATGCTCACTCAAGCTTTCAGCATGTAACAAGGACAAGAGAATTCTAAAACAGAGGAGAGAAAAAAGAAAAAAGAAAAGCAAACACCAAACCTTGACAGGTTGCTAGTCCAAGAGTGGCTGCATTCACATCAACTACAAAGAAATGCCATGTGATTCTGCAACTCTTCTGCTCCCTAACACTAGGATTAGAGCAGAGACAGCTCATCTCTCCTCACAGCAAGCTACTCGTTACCTGTGGAGTCAAATACAATCGGCTGGCAGTTTCTGTTGGAATTCCAGTTACATTTGAGCACCTGGCCTCCTTCTACAATGTTGTGCTGGGTAGTGTTTGCTTTTGGAGCTCCCACCAGAAGAAATACCCTGCAGTAAAAAGAAATAAAACAAAAGTTTCGACACCCAAGCCATACACATTGTTACTTTAAAACATCTGAAGAGTTACTACATCAAAAACCTTGCCCATTCAAATTTAAATCGGACAAGAACAACTTTGAGTTTCAGAGAAATTCATATTAGGATTCAGGACTTGGGTCCCTTTTTTCTGTAAGCAAAAGCTGGCAAACAAACAAACCCCACCAACATTTACCAAAATAAGAGAAAATTAAATTCTTCTGTCCTACTTAAAATGACATTTGAAAACAAGATAAACGCTTCTATAATCAGGATTTTTCATTTTTTTCCTTTTCAAATATACATATGTATGCAGTGGAAGAGGAAACCATGTATTTCTGTAATGTAAAAAAAAGTAATTGTCTGGCATCATTTCTGGTTAATTTTGTGCATGAGAGTAATTCAAGGAAGTCAGTAAAAAATGGAAACAATGTATAAACAAAACAGCAGTGCTTCTGAGCTCAGAAGCTACAAATTGGTGAGTCAGCCTAGTACTAGGCAAACACTTCTTAAAGTAATCTCCAAGTACCCAAGTGATGGTCAAGCACAGGTTTGTACATTAATGCACCTTTACTGAAATTCATTACACAGTAATCACCTCTTATTAAAATCTGTTGTGCTTTTATAAATCTCTGCTTATATTAATATGTTACATGCATTCCGAGCAGGAACTGTTAAAGAGATTATGTCTGTGAGGTGGTAAAATTCACAAGTTGCCAAGTAAGCAACAGACCAAAAAAAGAACTCATACCAAGCAAGGTTCTTAGCATCTTCCAACAGGCTATTAACATCTTCACTGTGACACCTCCAAAATATACTGGACTCATCAGCACTTTCCTGAGGGTAGCAAATTTGAAGTACAGACAAAGACATAGGGAAGATAAAAAACTAAATACTTCATCAGCATCTGCTCTGTTGCTTGCCTTTAGACTGTTTAAGATAGAAACTAGCTTGTAAGCACAAGTCTTATAATCAGGCACTATGGTTATTTAGTTTTGAAATTGCTGAATGCTGAACAAGCTGCAAGACTGGTTGAAGAGAATGCTTACAGTAGGCAGATCCAGGCTTACCAAACTTGTTCTGGTTTTCAGAGTCATCTCCCAGACTTCACTTTAGTATAGAGCTAAGTTTATGTTTCTTAACATGTAAATACCAGGCATAGACAGGTGGTATCTCATCAAAGCTGTTCATCTACAGAAGCCCTAGTTCTCAACCATGCAATTTTTCAGAAGCTTAAAAATTTCCTGGTGTGAACCTGAACAGAAAATCCAGGCTAGCTGGCGATCCATTTGTCTTCCTTAGTTGCCATTCAAGATTTCAAGAAGAATTTGAAATGCTTTAATCAACTTAAAATGTTCTCTCTGGGCATAACAGAAATGCTTAAAAATAAGCATCATAATGCCAAGTAAAATAACAGAGTCATTATAATTACAATCTATTAAACAAGTGGTAGCTTGCCTTCCTCTTTACTCGTACGTCACTAGCTTTTGATAAGACCCCCAAACTAAATACATGTTTAAAAAAAAAAATAAATCATTCCTATTCTAATCATGTACTTTAACACTTTCTTATATTAATCTTTGATACAAGGTTTATTAAAAAGATTACAAAAAAATAAATAATTATGTGACTCCACGAAGGTTTAGACACTGCTTCTTCCACAGCAAAAAAAAAAAAATCGAGTATTTTTCTCAGCACAGAACAAATGAGCAGATTGTGGTAGGTCTTATAATAACATACAAATTAGAGACAGAGAAGCCTCTAGTCCACATACTTTGTGAAAGGGGCAACAGAGGGAAAACTGATGTTTCCATAGGAATACACCAGCTATGATTTGATACTGCCTTCCTCCACCTGATGCAGCACAATGCTGCAGATGAAACCGGGAGTGCGCTGACAGCTTTGGTGCAATAATCACTCACCAGTGCTTTGCCATGGGCCAATAAAGAGAAACTGGTTTTTCCATGTACTTATAAACTGGAAAGCAGACTGTCAAATGCAATTCTTCTAAAACATGGCATGTATGAGAAAACTTTTCTAGTTTTTATAAGGTGATGTTCAGCAGCTTCGTATTATATGCCCTCTACCAGGCATCATATAGCAGCCTGATACAAGACTACTGGAACAGGGCTTTAATACTGGACTCCTAAATATGCTTTATTTTGGTATCCAGGAGGTCAAAATACACTATGAAACAGCTGCTTGAGCATTCAGGAACTAGTAACTCTCCTTTGTTATCAAGCTAGTCAATCCAAGTAGCTTTAGCTCAACTAAATTCACGCAATCTCTAGTACTTATATGGAGAAAAGGTGACAAATACAATTTCACCTAATACCATCAGAGCCTGTTTCTGTAAAATTTGCATAGCTACTTTGTTCCAATTATGAGCTTAAATTTAAGCACCAGGGGGTGCAACACCAGGTCACTTAGCAGATACACAGTAACTTCTAATTGCAAAAAAAAAAAAAAAGAAAAACATTCCTTTAAAGATAGGAAGGAGTCTTCCATGCTGCCTGAAAACCACTAGTGTTCCAAGTTACTAAAAGAAAAAAGCCATCAGTGTTTTATTTTACAGCCATGCACTTTGAGATCACTAGCTATTACAAAAATAATTTAAAGGTTCCGAACAGTGATTCCACATAGGTCCTTATCAGAAAGCAAGGAAGAAAGTTTACCACCCACATTTACTAGTCTCCTGATAACTTTTTGCAGAAACACGTCAACTTAGAAATAAAGGGAGAGACACAAATAGAATATTTTTCTTAAGTACCAAGATTTAAACAGGATTAAGATAGCACAGAAAGATGTTGCAACACATGCAAGTCAAGACAGGATGACTTCTAATATTGTAGGCAATAAAGAAATGCAAATAAAGCTAGGCTGATATATTGCAAAAAGGCTTGCTCAATAGCTATAAAAATTGTTCATAAGGTTTTATGAGTTAGAGAAATCCCCACAGCATGACAGAAGCTAGCAGCCTTTTCAGCTTTACAGCCATTTCTTAAGATAGGAAAGGAGGGAGAAAAGTGACAAAAGCTGGATCTTAACGTAGCCCACACTTGAGAAATGCAGACTATGCAACACCATGACTTCGAAGTTAGTGCCACAACTATTCAAAAGTCTGAAATACATCAGCCTCTGCTTAGTTGTCGTGTAATATGAAATGGGAACATATTCAGGAAGCAGATGCAGAGTGTTTACATGGAACTTCTTTTTCAGAGTCAGCAACATTTTCGTGACCCGCACAGACACAATGCAACCCATACAAGGCACTTCTACAAAGAGCAGCCAAAAAAGAGGACAGAGGAAATTCTGAGATTTCAATGGGACAAAGCCGATGAGATATAATGAAGCAAAATGCCATACTTCATCTTTCTACACTCTATTTATCACCACCGCTAGCTGCGTAAGCCACAGACTGGTAAGGCTATTCAGAAAACCTAGCAGTGCAGTTTGTGCCACGTTAGGGAGCCTCAGCAGGCAGAGCCACTCTAGACCGGGAGCAGACAGAGCTGAGCTGGGGGTGGCATGTCTCTGCCCCGCAGTGCCAGTGGCTGTGCACACCAGACAGTGCCAGGGTCCTGTCTCAGAGACCCCATTTTGTGTGGGCCACCACGGCCACTGAAGCTGCTAGCCCAGAGGGGACAGGTACAGCTCAGCATAGCTCGTTCGTGAAATCATCACAACTGTGTAATGAAATCACAGAATGGTTTGAGCTGGAAGGGACCTTAAAGCGCATCCACTTCCAACCCTCTGCTATGGGCAGGGACACCTCCCACTAGACCAGGTTGCTCCAAGCCCCGTCCAACTTGGCCTTGAACCCTGCCAGGGATGGAGCAGCCACAGCTTCTCTGGGCACCCTGTGCTAGCACCTCACCACCCTCACAGGGAAGAACTTGTACCTCATATATCATCTAAGTCTCCCCCCTGTCAATTTAAAATCATTCTCCTTTTTCCTGTCACTGCATGCCCCTATAAAATGCCCCTCTCCCGGTTTCTTCTTGGCCCCTTCAGGCACCAGGAGCTGCTCTAAGGTCTTCCCGAAGCCTTCTCTTCTACAGGCCAAACAAGCCCAGCTTTCTCAGCCTGTCTCCATAGCAGAGGTGCTCCAGCCAGCTGATCAGCTGCGTTCGGCACCGGGCCCAAGCGAACATCTCCCATCAGTGAACCGCTCCGAATGTCTTCCGAAAACTGCCCAGGCGTCAGCTCTGCCGTGTGAGCTACAAGGGAGCAGCCCGGCCGCTGACACGGGGGGGCTGTTCTCCCGGTCCCACATCGCCCTCCCCTACCTTGTCGGAACGGCAGCAACCCCGCCAGAGGACGGAATAGAGAAAAGAAAGGAGCCGCAGAGCCAGGCCCCCCTACTCCCAGTGAGCGGCAGCCCCGACAGACGCCGGCCGGTAGCGCCTCGGTGGGCAGAAGAAGGCGGGCACTTACGAGGACGAGTCTGGAGCGAAGAAGTCCACGGCGAAGCCGAAGTAACTACCCTGCGGACCCGAGTACACGGCCGGGCGCTCCACGTCCAGGTTGAAGGCGCCGCCCGGGACCAGCGCACCGCCCAGCAGTGCCAGCAGCCACAGCCACGGCCCCGCCATGGCCCGACCCGGCAGGAACGAAGCGAAGTGATGGGCGATACGGAGGGGCTGCGCGTTTCCTGCGGTTGGCGGCGGCGCAGAGAGGGAAATCACTTCCTCCCGCCCTACGCCCAGTTCCCTTTTCTGCGCGCGACAGGAGCGGAAGGAAAGAGAAGCGGTATCATGTGGTGCCGGAGGGGGGCCATGCCGTGCGCCGCACCGGGCCCGGCCAGGCAGCAGCGCCGCTGCTTCCTGCCGCCCTCCCTCACTGCCTGCTGCAGGCACGGCCAGGTCTCGCTGTGGGAGCGCTGGTGCCCAGCCAGGGGGAGGCTCTACCCCGCTCCGCCGGGGCTGGAGCGACAGGCGGCTGCGGTTCAGATGGGCGGGAGGGAAACCACCCGAGCCCTAAGCAGTTTGTGCTGGATCCCAAAGCCAGAGAAGCACTAGGAGTAAGAAGACGGGAGCATATGCATAGTTCGTCTTAAAACGTCATCCTTGGTAAAACCTTCTCAGTAAAGCCTTTCTTGCCAAGTCTTGAAACAACTTCTGTTAACAAAAGCAAAGAGTGAAATAAGTGTGGACTCATCATTGAGGAAAAACCCCATCGTTTTTCAAATTAATGGAATAGTAAACGAAGTAGTTTAAAGTCACACGGTTCCCACAGAGCCCCACAGCAGCCCCAGCACTGACAGAGATGCCCAGCAGCAGCTGCAGGACTGAGTCTGTAAAACCTCCCTCCTGAAGGTCTGGTCACTGCACAGTCCACCTGGGAAAGACAGAGCTAGCGTCCAGCTCGAACCTCTTCAGACCAAGTTTGTGGCCCTTCTGTCATCTGTCACTACGGAGAGTTTAGTGCTGCCATTGCAGTAGCTCAGAGAGTTGTAGGCTGGTCAAACCCCTCGTGGCCTTGCCCACATCAGCCTACAGCAAAGTTCAACATCCGCTTGGTCTAGCAGTGTTTCAGGAAAAAGAAAACATACTGGAACACCTATGAAGTGGAATTAAATCCTATTAATACTGTTACTATGTTACCAGCTTCCACACTATTGTTTCAAGTCTGAACTTTCAGCCTTGCTTCTCTCATGTGAGCATGATGAAAAGGAACAAATAATGATGTTTCAAGCCCTAAATACAAGCTAAAAAATATCCCATACATATTTACCAAGGGATAGAATCGGAGTCAAGAGAATCCTAAAGAAGAAAAGCATTAAGAAAACAAATACATGAAGACCTGCAAAGATATACCCCCCCCCCAAAAAAAACACTCAGAAAACACATCATGTTCTAGAGACATTATCCTGAGGCCTTCAACAGAAGTGATGAATTCTAGCACAGTAGTTACAAGAAGATGAAAAGCCTACCAAAAAAGGACTTGTTTAAAGAATTGAAGGTACATCAGTTGGAGTGTCTTACCAAAAGACTGCTATAACTCTCCCCAAAATTTTTGAACTGGATATGGGACCTACTAGTGACGTTTTGGACTTTTAGTCCATGAAAGATCATTTTCCTTTGAAATCTATTAAATTAACTGTGCATGAACTTTTACAGGCTCAGTTCTAAAAAAAATCAGGCACATCAGGTAAAGCCAACAAGGTTCAGAGCGAGCAATTAGAAGCTGCTTATTTAGAGTGTTTTCTTTGGGAAACCATCACTAAAACAATCAGAAATATTAGTAGGCAGCTGAATACAGCCAGAAGCATAGTGTTTGTGAAAAAAACTGCTAATTAACCTTTTGAAGAGAGACATAATTTAACAACCATGAAGTATTCCTGAAGTTTTGAACTTGCTTGATTCAATAGATACAAAGTAGCATATTGAAACTTTGAACTAGGTGCCTTTAAGTTGCTTGTTTTCATTTTAATGAATTGTTCCTTCAAAGAATCCAAGGACTTTTTTTTCCGGAAACAAAAAAAAAAAAGAAAGGGGGGGGCATTTTTCATCACTTAAGGAATCACATATCAGAGTATCAGTTTCCTGTTTTCTCTTGGAGTGCAAATTTACAGTCACTGTTGGGTTTGGTTTGATCTTTGTTTTATAATGTCTGATCAGCCTACATTGTCCTGGGTTTAGCAGTGGCAGTCATTTATCTCCTTCTTGGTAGCTGGTGCAGGGCTGTGTTTTGACTTTCAGCTGGGAACAGAGCTGAAAAACAATGATGTTTTGGTTTGGCCAAGGACTTTGTGGGCCTCATGCTCTGCCAGGGAGGAGAGGAGCCGGGAGGAAGCAGAGACAGGACACCTGACCCAAACTGACCAAAGAGGTATTCCATACCACAGCACGTCATGCCCAGGAGGTAACTGGGAGTTAGCCGGAAGGGCTGGGTGGACTGCAGGATTGGAGGAGGTATCGGTCGGTGCTTGGTCGGGCTGGGGGGCAAGTTATTGGTTGCCTGATGATGGGGTGTTGTATTCTTTTCCCTTGTTATTTCCTTTATCATTACTATTATTGGTGGTAGCAGTACTGATTTGTGTTATACCTTAGTTACTAAACTGTTCTTATCTCAACCCGTGGGAGTTGCATTCTTTCTGACACTCCTCTCCGTCCCTCCAGGAGTAGGGGGAGGGCAAGAAAGGGGGGGAGTGGGTAACATGCTGTCTGGCTGTGGGTTAAACCACGACAGTTCTTTTTTGGCGCCCAACGTGGGGCACGAGGGGTTGAGATAACGACAGATCTGACCGGATTAATAGTCACTCGTCACAATGCTGATTTATTGGCTCTCAGAGTTGTTCCTCTTGATCTCACAGCTTCAGAATGTTGTAACTTACTTAGACCCGGTATTTGCTGTGTTAGTGTTTATCAAGTGTGGGGCTTGGGCTAAGGTTCTTGTCTCACTGTACTTTATGGCAATGACTTGTAATACGGGCGGGCTCCAGCAGCAGGGCGGGACGGACGTGGCCGTGGACTGGTCCCTGGCCGTCCGGCTGCTCCTCACCGTCCTGGCCCTCGCCCTCGCCTCCGTCTGCGTGAGGCTCTGGGGAGCCGAGGGGGGGCGGCCCCGGGAGCCGGCGGCTGCTGAAGCAGCCCGGGAGAGCGGCTCCGGGGACCAAGCGGGAGCGGGACCGGAGGCCAGCAGGGAGCGGCTGCCAGTGGAGGAGGTCGGGGCGGTCGAGGAGCGGAAGGAGGCGGCTGCCGAGCAGCGGGAGAAGGCAGCCGAGGAGCCGAGCCCAGCTCCGCGACGGTCGAGAGCATTCCCCGGAAGCCGCCCGCCGAGCCCCAGGAGGACGCTGGAGACCCCGCAGCATTTCCCAGCAAGGCAGAGGAGGAGGAGCTGGACTCAGGAAAACAGAAGCTGGTGGTGGGAGAGCTGGCAAGCACAGCAGCTACACCAGCCCCAGTGACAAGTACAGCAGCATCGTTTGAGAGTTCTGAAGGTTTTGAATGGCCTTTGGGTACCCTTGGGACCTGCCTGCTGATTGTGATGGTGTTCACTATGTTGGCACACATGCAGAGTGTGTTTTACCCACCACCATTGTGTCTGATCCCAAAATTTAAGCAGAGTCGGGTTTGGGTCTTGTCTGGGGTTAGACAACAATATGGGAGGACCAAGAGGTTTTCCCCAAGGCTGGACAGCCATGAGTGGCAGGGCATGTGGGACAGTATGGGCAAGTATCTAGTCCACTGGGCCCCTCCAGTGCTTTGGAAACATTGGAGATGGAAGGACAATGAATTATTTTGAACCTGGTGGGCCCCTGACCCTTAAGGCCAACAGAGCAGAGATGCAACATAGAGATGGACTCATGATCGAGGGGTGGACCTAACAATGGACACTATCGCCCAGGTTATTCACAGGTGTGAACACTGCACACAGCCTCTCGTGCTCTGAAAGACTGTTACAAGAGATGGAGCCTGACATCATGGACCACATGGACTCAGCAGCTTTATAGGGACTGGTCCATGCACTACGATGAGAGTGCACTTAGATAAGAGTGAGGGTATATTGAAAATGTGGGATCTGAGCATGACGTGAATGGTATGGAATAAGGGGTGGATAATGTCCTGGGTTTAGCAGTGGCAGTCATTTATCTCCTTCTTGGTAGCTGGTGCAGGGCTGTGTTTTGACTTTCAGCTGGGAACAGAGCTGAAAAACAATGATGTTTTGGTTTGGCCAAGGACTTTGTGGGCCTCATGCTCTGCCAGGGAGGAGGGGAGCCGGGAGGAAGCAGAGACAGGACACCTGACCCAAACTGACCAAAGAGGTATTCCATACCACAGCACGTCATGCCCAGGAGGTAACTGGGAGTTAGCCAGAAGGGCTGGGTGGACTGCAGGATTGGAGGAGGTATCGGTCGGTGCTTGGTCGGGCTGGGGGGCAAGTTATTGGTTGCCTGATGATGGGGTGTTGTATTCTTTTCCCTTGTTATTTCCTTTATCATTACTATTATTGGTGGTAGCAGTACTGATTTGTGTTATACCTTAGTTACTAAACTGTTCTTATCTCAACCCGTGGGAGTTGCATTCTTTCTGACACTCCTCTCCATCCCTCCAGGAGTAGGGGGAGGGGAAGAAAGGGGGGGAGTGAGTAACATGCTGTCTGGCTGTGGGTTAAACCACGACACATTCACTGATACCACAGTATTTAGGCTTACAAGAACAAATGTGTCATGTATAATTCATCCTAAGGGAAAGGACTGAACATTAATACAGGGTGATCATTTCAACTTCTCTCTAAATACATACAGGAAATTTCCTTAAATTAAAAATAACTTCAACACTTATATCTTATTACAGCCAGGTTTTATGTTAACAGGCAAGATAAATTAAGTAGCCTTGAAGTAAACAGAAAATATAATAAACAGAGAAAGAGGATGAGTGATGGCAATATTTTAAAAGCCAGATGTAAAATATGCCGTACACCATGGATTCTTGACAAGCCTACTGCCACTTACCTACTGTTAAAAGGCTTGGGTTTTTTTACAAGTTCTTTTGGAAGGATTACCCATACAAGGAAAAAAAAAGAAGACAAGGATGGAAAGAGAGGGGAATTCACAATAACTTGTTCTCACTGAAAAGGGGCTACAAGTTCAGTTTTTATGTTTAAAATGCTTTAGATCTTAATTGTTTCTTCCCATCTAGATATACACACATCACCTCAAAACTTGCACAACCCTGCAGTGCTGCTGCTCCACTGTAAGCAATAATATTTTTCATATTTATTCTTTAAAAA